GGATCAATACCAAAGCGAGATATAAGTGTAGTTTCTCTAGAAGTTTTACTTCCATTAACTAACTTACCAAGGAAAAGTATTCCACAAATAATCCATGGGTATAAAATGCTCCTGGAAAGAACTAGGAAAAGCATTGAATTTGCTGGAGGCGTTTCCAGATAAAACTATCTATATTATGTTCCGCCAGTAAAATTGGAAGCATCGGAGGACACAGACATGCCTCAAACCTGATTTTCAATCCCCTGATAGTTTATCAGATTGCTGGCATCATCATGTTTTTGTAATTAAGCAGAATAGATTTGGTCACACGTAATTACTAAAAAACAAGACAGCTTCTCTAGCGTTAGAACACTGTGTCCTCAACGTAACAGGACTGACTCTGTGTGAAATGAGAGAACATTCTGGTGAGCATGAGGCAAACCACACACCGCCCTCTGGCCTTGCTCTGCTGAGACTGAAAAGATCTTATCAGCCCTTTTCAGATTATCCAACTCCATTGGACTTTGGGCTTTCTTCTGTTTCTGCAGCTGTTTACCTTTATGGTATAATCTGAGATTAAATACAGGGGGAAAGACAAAAACTAAATTGTAAGAATTGTACTTAAGATATAATAGTCCTACTAGGAGACATGCAACATTTAAACCTTGAACACCAATGGCCATGCGGAACGCTACCATGGTCTGCGCAATAAATCAAACACACATGGCTATGACCTATATTTATATACCCAAAAGGCTCCCTGGTGAAAGATAAGAATCTACCTTTTCATGTGCATAGAAGTGCAGTAGGAAAAGAGTAGCCTTAAAGTTCTAGTGAGAAAGAAAAAAACATTTAAAATGTGTTTGCAGAAACCTGTTACAAAGTCTTAATGCCATACTAGATTTGTACCCAGTGATACATGGGCAAATGCGTAGGATTTTTGTAGACTGAACTTGACTACAACGATGTAGGCATTGTCACTTTATCCTGAGAACGTCACTACATTACCATTCGCAGCTTCTCAGAATTTCTGAGCCTTGGACAGTAAAACCATTGCACCTCCCTACTTAATTCACAGTCTTCTGGATGATCACCGACGTGTGTTTCTTAAATTTGTTTGTTCCTTTCCTTGAAGCCTGTTGCAATGTGTTATGAGCATGGAACGCAAAGCGTCTGGATGCCAAATGCCCTCCTCTGCCTGCTGTCAATCAAGTTGACTCGATGCTCTGTCCCAGGTCATCATTCCTCTTTGGCTTCTAGTAAGAGATCTCTGAGAAATGACACATAGCCAAACAAATATTGGTTTGCAAATGTCTATCAATCCTTAAAAGACCTTCGTTCTTCAAATACGCACGATACAAGCCTGTAGACTTATGGTGTCCTCATAACCCTCCCAAATTTCAGGTGTGCCCGAGTCACCTGTCGGTGCCAATTACCACTGCTCATTTTATACCCAAGTTGATTTAAACATGTCAATTGGTATTCGAGGCTTTTTGAAGATTGTGATTTTTTACCACTTTCATGGTGAAGGAAATTTTCCTGTTTTCTTTCAACTTTTATTGTTTTTGGTCTTTTGCTCTTTGATTATTTCTAGGGCAATAATCAAAATAAAATTTTAGTTCACCGCAACGTTGCACCGCAACGAAGAGTAGCCCCCGCTTGACGCAACTAGAGAAAGCCCGCGCGCAGCAACGAAGACCCAACACAGCCAAAAATGAATTAATTAATTTTTTAAAAAAGAAGAGAAACTGGATTGAAAATCCAAGATCTAGTGCTGGATAGAAGGAGATGTCAAAAGATTAAGGGAGGTCACAGACTAATGGGGAAAGTAGGCAAAAGATGTCAAAAATATTATAAAGTGTGATAGGGGGTGCACCAGATATGGGGTAGCACCAAGGAAGGCACCAATCCAGACAGAAAGAGCTAGAATGTTCCTTGCAGCAGATGATAGTCCCATAGAGCAGGGGGTTCTAACGAGAACAAATCAGGCAGAGAAGAAGGGAAATATTGCAGGTCCCAGGCCCACAATTGTCCAAAGGCAAGAAGATGTGTGTGCCCTTGGCATGCCCATGAACTCGCTGGCAGGCAACACGGACAGCAGGAATATTCAGAGTGGAGATAGATGTGGTGACTATGAGAAATAATAAACTTCCCTCTTTGCTTTACCAAAAACAAGAAAGGAAGGAAAGGAGGGATGGAGGGAAGGAGGGAGGAAGGGGGGAAGAAAGAGGGAAGGAGGGAGGGGGAGAGAGAGAAAGAAGGAAGGAAGGAAGAAAGTGAAGGAAGAAAGAAACTGGATTGACATATTCAGAGGCATACCACTGAGTCCAGGAAAAAGACCAGAGGCATCTTTTACAGTGACCTCTTTCTCTCTTGGGAAAGATGGGAGAAGGTGATTTGCAGTAAATGTGTATTTTCACACGAATCCCATTGGTATCGCCTAGAGAGAAAAATTGAGTTTTCTGCTTTCAACAACTGATGTGACCCAAGAAAAGAAATATTAAATTCAGTCTTAAAGCACCATCCACATGTAGTGGTAGCTACGCTAACACATTTTCAACTGGCACCAACCAACAGAATCGTCTTGATCCCAGGAGGTGATAACATGAAACACGAACAACAGTGTTCAAAATATATAAATCTTCTACTTCGTGTTTGTTGAACTTCGGTTTCCTCCATATCATGAACCTATGAAGTTGAAAGTCTGGTCTTATGTCTTTGGTCCGTTAAGTTTTAGTGTGAGCGAGAATTGGTTAAAACTTGAATAAGAGCAATTTTATTCATAATGTTCTCTAAATCGGCCTTCATATTTGACATCCTAAATAGTCAGAAGAGGTTTATATTTTAACAAGTTGTGAACAACAGCTGGAACTATCACCCCTAGTTCCGAACTTGCAAGCAAATCAAAGGACCTCCTCCCAACCCCTAGTGTCCACTTGTCAACGCTGGGGGGTGGGAAAGGGGGCGTGAGGTGGAGACTGAACCACTGCAGCAAAAACTCCGAGGATCTGCCACTGACCTAGCACTTTGCGTGTTTTTCTCCCACTGATGTCAGAGCTTCAGGAAAACATGAATGCTACCTCCACCTTCTCATCACTACGGCCCCCATAAAAGTTAAAGGAGGCCTCAGCTGGGAGCTTCATAAGCTTAGGAGGGAGGGCTGGAGAAGCTCAGAGGATTAAGATGAAATACTCACAGGGCAAAGCGAGATTTCCAAAGACCAGCCTCACATCAGTTTTTTGTGGAGGGCTGTTCCCGTGTTCGTCAAAAAGGAAGAAACTTTTCCTCCCTCATCTTACTCCCCATGGCATTTTGACTTAGCACTTATAAAACAATAATCCGAATCACCCTTAAGCGTTTACAGAGTCCTTTCATACATGTGTTTTAAGTGAGTCTCAGAGCTGTGAGGATGGATATATTTTTTTCTTGTTTGACAAATTCTGGTTCCATTTATTAGTGACGTGACCTTGGGCAAATGAGTTAACATCTCTGTGCCTCGTGTTTCCCTTTGGTAAAATGGGATCAATTATAGTATTAACCTCACAGGACGGTAAAGATGAACAAATACATAAAGTACTTAGAACCCTCTCTGGTACCTAGAAAGTGCTGGAATATGGTGGCTGGTATTAAGATTACCTACAAACGAGGCTTCTTTATGGAATTTAGTGAGAGGCGCTGTCCCTTTACTCAACAATTCAAAACCCTGTTCTTATGACACCAAACTTATATTCTCTCCCTCTCCAGACTCCTCTGGTCTGCTCTCTGAATCTGCCAGATAGGTTAAGTGGACGAATTTAAAAATCTGGCCATCTTCCAGACTTCCCTGGTGGCGCAGTGGTTGGGAATCCGCCTGCCAATGCAGGGGAGACGGGTTCGAACCCTGGTCTGGGAAGATCCCACATGCCGTGGAGCAACTAAGCCCGTGTGCCACAACTACTGAGCCTGCGCTCTAGAGCCCGCGTGCCACAACTACTGAGCCCACGAGCCACAACTACTGAGCCCGCATGCCACAACTACTGAAGCCCGCGCGCCTAAAGCCCGTGCTCCGCAACAAGAGAAGCCACCGCAATGAGAAGCCTGCGCACCGCAACGAAGAGTAGCCCCCGCTCGCTGCAACTAGAGAAAGCCCACGCGCAGCAATGAAGACCCAACGCAGCCAAAATAAATAAATAAGAAATGGTAATTTAAAAAAATAAAATAAAATTTAGCCATCTTTATAACAATTATTTTGTGAGACAATGGATTTGATTTCCAAGCAACTTTCCATATATAACTCATTAAAATCAGGGGCTGCTCGCCACACTATCACACCTGAGGTTTAACGTAGCATGTGGGCTGAGGGAGAGGCATGGGAGAAACATTTTAGAGCAGAAGTGGGCCATTTAATTAATATAAACATTTGGGGAAATCACTGCTTGGGTGAATCTGGTAGTATCCTTCGTGCATCTGAGGTTTTGACTAACTCTACCCATTTGTACAAAGTTGTTACAGTCCTGTTTTCAAAGTGCTTCCTAAGCACTTGAGCAAGTTCAGGCGTTTAGTACTTCTCCTACTACTCAAAAGCAGCAGAGATGCATTTAGTTAGAACCTCCAGTTAAGGACTGAGTCCCTTGCAACATTGCTCTTGTTTCCTTGGAATTGTTAATAGATGAACAGGATCTCTCTCAATTGTGTTCTGAGGAATGTTTCATTCAAGTGAATGAGCAATTGAATAATTTAATGTTTGCTATGGATGGCAATTTTTTTTTAACATGAAAGATGCTTTAAGTTCACATTTTTTTTCTTTTCCGCTGTATCTCTTCTCTGGGGCGGAGCAGTATAAGGTTCTGAAAAGAGCATGGCCTTTGGAACTCGTCAGACCTGCATTTTGTTTTGTTTTGTTTTTTGGCCACGCCATGCAGCATGCAGGATCTTAGTTCCCCGACCAGGGATCGAACCTATGCCTCCTGCAGTGGAAGCACAGAGTCTTAACCACTGGACTGCCAGGTAAGTCCCAGACCTGCATTTTGAATCCCCTTTCTGCAACTTTGTGGCTGTGGGACTTTGGGAAATTTGCTTAGCTTCTCTGAGCCTGTTTCCTAAACTACAGAATAGAAATGGAAGTGATCCATGGAAGGATTGCTGTGAGCATCGGATGCGTGGTAACACACCTGGGCCAGTGCCTGACTCGTGATGGGCATTTCAGACGTGTGCCTCTCCTCTCCTCCTCTCCAGTTCTGTTGGAACTAATTCAAGTGCCACTCTCGCAGGCGGTGCATATGAGAAAGGTATTTGCTGCTCCATTGCTTCCAGAGGAATGTTTTCAGGCCACATTAACCTAGGACTAAAAAACAACAAAAAAAAAGTTTTCCCGCTCTTCCTGGCTATTTCAGTACCCCTGATGCCACTTGAAAGTAAAATCCCTCCTTCCCATCCACCTCAAATGTTTCTCAGATTCTAGAAAAATCCTTCACTTTCCTCTTCAATCCAAATTAAAACAGTGGCTCTGCCACTTTTTGCTGTGTGACATTGGTCAAGTTACTTAACCTCACTGTGCCTCCGTCTTGTCTGTAAAATGGGAATACTAAAAAGATCTAACTCACAGAGTTGTTTTGAGGAATACAAGGGTTCCTACAGGTGAAGCACTTAGAACATTTCCAGGCATAGAGTCAGTGCTCAAGAACTGGCTGTTGTCACACTCCACTCCAGCTTCCTGGGGCTGCCAACCTGGTTTTCTTCTTGTGATTGATGCTGCTGATGGTTGTTTCCGGCACTACCTTTGTATAACCTGAAATTGTCCACAGCCACAAGTCAGGGATGGGTTCTCGAGGGCCTCTGAGCAGCCACCTATGAGCTGAGCTTTCTGCTACCTGGGACATCCTGTGACCATGTGATCACCCGCTATAAGACCCTTACAGCCATGCAGCTGTGTTCCTGCAAAACAGAAACATTTGTTTCTGTTTTTTTTTTTCCTCTCTCATAGCTCCCTCCCTCACATTCAAGCATGATCTCCCAGGGCCGGACCAGGGGGTGATATGGGTGACGAATCCTCCTCTGATCTCAGAATCACCCTTTCTGACCATGAAGCATTTTCTTTGGCTCCAGCTTCTGTGCTTTGATTTCTCCCACCTTGAAGGTGAACACTGTTAGGAAGACCCTTCAATACCTCCTGCAACCAAGGCTACTCCTGAGTCTGCCTCGCATGCCTGAACCTTGGGTCCCACTTCATCTGAATTCCTTCCTCTTGGAGATGCAAGTCAGCGAAATAAACTCCTAGAGGCGTCTCAGGCACCAAATGTCCTTGTTTGAAAAATAAAGTGTGATTTCAAGAAACAGCCATAGTACCTGCTACTGCTCTATCAGAAAATATAGGGGAAGTAGTGCTAGATGCTACAGAGAAAGGTTGTTTTCTCCCCTTTCTTCACGGTTATCCTTAATCTAATCTGAAAGAGAGGAACTACAAATGCCTCTTATAGACATCTGTACACAGATGGTCATTGTCATGTGCTAAATTATTGACATTTCTTGCCAGAAGAATGCTCCGGGAAAAACCATTGATGAATATATGCTACTTTGGTTTCACCTTGTCAATGCTAAGTAGAAATATTTTTCTGAGGTTATAGTTGAGATACGCCCAACAAAGGCATGATGAGCGAGTAAGAAAATGTGGCGGAGTAGCAGCAAACCTTGATAACAGCCCCTGTGCCGGTACTGATCTCAAAGGCATCACAGCTTGTTCCTGGTAAAGGAGAAGAACAAATTTCCCCAATTGTCTTGGAGTACAGTCTGAAATGCATATATATTATTTATGAAATTTCATCATTAGAAAGAAATCTCCATGCATGCCAGAAATTTAATGTCTCATTTACTACATGATCACCAGTCTAGAATGATTTTTCTTTAATGTTCATTCAGAGTTAATGATTATTTTGTAAGTGGGAGATACACCCCAGATGTATGGAAATTCACTCACGTTCATTCATTCATTCTTCCATCCAGCAAATATTTATTTAGACCCTACCAAAGGCACGTGGAGGAACGAATTAACAAATGAATGCATGAAGTTTTTTAAATATCAGAACTTAAGACAGCTTGCACTTGAATTTACGGATATTTTGAGCCAGTCAGGCTCCAAAATTAACAGACCCTAGAATAATTTCTTTAATGCTCATTCAGAGCTAATGATTATTTCAAATATGAAACGTAAACACCAAATAAAGTTGAGCAAATGTAAATTATATTTTGAAAGAAACAGCTAGTAATTTTATTCCAGAGGTCTCACTCAGCAAAATCTAGTCCAGATGTGTCTGAATCTACATCTAAATGTTTTTTATAGCTACTTAATCTTAAATCATGGAGGACTGTGATCCTGAAGTATAGAATCCACAAGTTCTTATAAAGGTTCAATGATAGCTCAAGATATTGACAAGCCACTGACATTATCCAACTCTTTTGGAACCTGAATTTGTGACACTTTTTCTTAGCTCTAGATTTTCACTCTTCAGTTTGTTATAGATCTCAATATAAAGATATGTATATATGCTCTGTGGGAATAAAAAAAGAAAAAGTATTGTCTTTCCTTCATTCTTCATATTGAGGAAAATTATCTGGTTTTTAACAGGTCTTACACATATGTAGATACCAGTAGATTTAGTGAGTTCAACTTGGATTATATCCTGTGATGTCAATGCTGTGTGTTTTGGTATCAATTATGGTTCTAATTGCAATCATGAAGTTATTTTGAATTAACCACTTTAAATAGGAATTATAGCCTTTGTGTATAATACTCTCATTAAAAAATAAATAAATAAATAAAGATGAAAGCCCTGAAAAAAGATAGTAGCGGATACCGATTTGATTTTTGAACTATTTTAGAGTAGAGTCTATACCTGGTGTACTACATTGATTCAGTTTTTGTTATTATTCTTTATATCTGCCCATTTTTATCTAAAACCTTTCGATAGCTGTTTCGATCATTATATTAAAATAAAATTCGGTACGTTTGAGGTGCATGAACCTTTGCAAACTTACAGAGCTACAGATTTAAACATGAGCTGGGGGCTGCCTTTGTTTTGACTCTGTTAGTCCCTCCTCCCCTCAGAGTGTGTGTTAAAAGAAACTGGCTCAGTTAAAAGACGCTTCATGAAAGATGCCTTGACATCCACACAGGGTTTAGAAACCCACAGATAAACACCAAAAAGGATGTGAAGCAAAAAAGCCCCAATTAAGCTTGTTTTAATTCAGCTAGAGATTAAACAACTAATCTCTAATTTTTTATCTGTTACGTTTTATGCCAATCAAAAATCTTCCAAATCATAACTTTTATCAATCGGAAAACATTTGCTCCTGGCGTTTGATGAACGTTGACTTCAGAGCTACTGTTGCTACAGAACAAAACACTACCAGCCAACACGCATAAGACAAACATGTGAAAGATGGGGTTTTCTACTTATCTCCTTTCTTTTCTCTTTTTCCTTCCCCTCTCCTTTCTCTGTATGTCTTTATTATGTGAGCAAATGATCAAAGAGTAAAGAAGTTCAGACCACAGAAAGGATTAGAATGGCCACTAGGATCATGGTTTCCTTCTCGTGAGAGTAGAAAACTGGCTGAGTCCCTTGTAGAAAACTGCTTCCCAGGTTTGATCAGTGCAATTTCAATTCTGCTTTAAACAGAATGGCTCTCGGGCACACACTGCTATTGTCTCCTTACAGATTTGCAAAATGCCTCTATGCTTTCCCATGGCCAAGGAAGCTCTTCAATCCTTAGTTGTCCATGGGAGCTGGTTTATTAGATAAGTGTATGTACCAAAGGAAGAAGTGGGTTATGGCTTAAAGGTGGTACAAAGGATTCGTTTTAATTTGGCCTCAAATTCCAAAGCTCTTGAACCATAAAAGATCTGTCTGCACTGAAAACTAATATATGTATATATTTTTATTTTTTTTAATTAATTTATTTTTATTTATTTTTATTTTTGGCTGCGTTAGGTCTTCGTTGCTGCACGTGGACTTTCTCTAGTTGTGGCGAGCGGGGGCTACTCTTCGTTGCGGTGCACGGGCTTCTCATTGCTGTGGCTTCTCTTGTTGTGAAGCACGGGCTCTAGGTGCATGGGATTCAGGAGTTGTGGCTCGTGGGCTCTAGAGCGCAGGCTCAGTAATTGTGGCACACGGGCCTAGCTGCTCCGCGGCACGTGGGATCCTCCCAGACCAGGGCTCGAACCCGTGTCTCTTGCATTGGCAGGTGGACTCCCAACCAATGTGCCACCAGGGAAGCCCAGGGAAGAAAAGCATAGAGAATGGTGATTTGCTTTCCAGGTGACAGGTGTGGCATCTTTTTGGAATAAACACAGGGTTCCTAAGACCCATTTCCTCTGGGCACAGACATTTTCTCTAAACTGAACATGTTTTTGTTTGCATAAAGTCTGGTTTTAGTCCCAAACTACAGAATTTCACAAAATTTTCCAGACATTGGCATGTATACAGGAAAGGTTCTCATTTCTTCCCTTTCAAGGTGTTTCCATTCAAATGATCTGCATTTCTTGTGTGTTGTGTGCAATGTATTTCACGAGGGAAGAAGTTTCATGAAAACGAGTAAGATGCAATCCTCACTTATAAGGATCTTGCATAAACAAAGAAATCAGCTGCTCCAATAAACATGGTGGAAGCTGTAGTCAGGCCATTAGCTCTTCCATGACCCTGTAAAAGTGATTTGACCTTTGCACATTTTGTTATTCCCTACAAAAATAAAGGAGCAAAACTAATCCACAGGGGCTGTGGAGATCACGTTCATGAAGTTTAAAAAGTGATTGCCACGATGATTTATCTTAATTTACTTGAATTAACTTAATCTACATTCTGCCGTACTATCAGTGTGTAATGCACAGGCACACACATTTCTTTGGGAAGGAATACCCACCCTCCCAGCTGATTAGCTTGAAGGGACAGCACGAGAACACTTGATAGAACACATTCAGTGTGTGTGAAACCAATTTACATTTTGCCCCACTTTTGTTCTGGAGGCTTTCTGATGCTTTTTACACATGATTTCATTGCATGAACATGTGTCTGCATGCACCTCTGCGTACAGCCCTAAAATTAAATTGACTTGCTGGCTACAGTTAGAGAAAATCCTTCTCTAGCTTCTTTCTACCACTCAATAAATTATTACAGTCTGTGCACAAAACACAAATTACATGCTTTATTAGTATGTTCTGTGGTAACCTCAAAACCACAAGTGTTTACATGTGCTGCACGCATGCACTTTGGGGCTTTTTAATAGCTGGTTGACAAGAGATTAAAGGCAGAAATATGGCATTTTATTAAAGCAAACATATCACTATGCCTACCATGATAAAATGATCTAGTTTTCTTCAGACACAAAAGTTTCTGTTGAGTGATACCTTCGAAATTCCTTGAGGGCACCCTATTATTCACTTTCCTCAACAGAGAGCAGGTGCAAATGGTCTCCAATTTTCAAAGAGTATTGCCTGGTCATTCTTTACTGTCAAAATGAAGAAGAGCATAAAAGTTAGGTCAATAAAGTAATATAAAATGCTTAATATAAAAATTCAGGAATGAATGATTAACCATGAAAAACTTACAGTAGCTATTTCATCTAGGAGAAAAAAAAATTAACATTTCCCCCGAAACCTATTAACACTCCTTGTAAACAATATTCTTTTTTGAAATATATGACCTTCCCTCATTCTCTCCACACCCATGGCATTTTTCTTATATCCACTTTACCGATAGGAGGTTGAATTCCTCAGGAAAGAGTGTTCTGAGCCCCTTTCTCAGACGTATGTGGTCTCCTGCTGCATATTTCACCAGGACGTTCTCATCAGCATCAGAGGCTAATCTGACAACCTGTTACTGCTGATCCAACTCCAAAATTACAGAATTTGGTCTACAGCCATACCACCCTGAACATGCCCGATCTTGTCAATATTACAGAATTTGCCAGGGGACAGGAGGCAAAAGACTGCCAAAGCTTAAACCGCTCGCTCCCTTATCGATCTACAATATTGGACAAATTGATAATTGCAGAAATTAGTATACATGCCTCTCCTTTCTTGATCACCTCCATTTCTTGTTGATATCTGTTCAGTCCCTGTGACCATCAGATAGAGGGTCGTGTGCAGAGAAATGCAGAAGTAAAAAATGCTTTTCTGTATTTTTGAGGAAACTATTTAAAGCAGGGTTTAGTTTAGTCTATGACTTCTTTTCAGATTTAAATCATAGCAAAAGCAAGACTGTTCAGGATCTATCCTAAAGCTAATCCTTCAGTTTCCTGATGTTGTTAAGAAAAATAACACCCCAGGCATAATATATATGAAGAATGATTTTGATTTAAAATTTGTGAAATGGCTACGGTCAGTAAGACCGCCTCTTGAGGCTGCCAAATGTTTCCTACACAATGTTTCCAGAGTCACTGAAGAAGGCCCCACCGCCATGTCATCCCGAGAAAACGATCACCCGGGCTGCGGCAAGTTGGTTAGCGTGAGAGGTGAGCATGATTTGATCCTGGGAATAAACTCACATTGCAGAAATTTTAAGGATTCTTGCAAATCTCTCATTTTACAGAGTTCATTTGCTTCAATAGACATCGTGAACTGCCAGCCATTTCCCAGAAGTCTTCCTCCAAATATTGGACAGAGATATCCAGGCGACACCTGCTAAGGAGAAAGGAAGCATGCTGAATAGTGTCTTTACTGGGTTATGAAATATTTGGTTAGCACCTA